CCCCAAGGAAGCTCCACCGAAGGCCCAAATGCCAGCGTTCGCATGCGCCTACCGCACCCATTTTGGCACATCCCTCGCATGTTTCGGAAGCCAAAATGCCAGCTTTCGCATGCGGCCAACGCTTTCATTTTGGCACACCCATCACAAGCTTCGTGGCCCTACAGGGAGCCCCGCCGAAGGCCCAAATGCCAGCGTTCGCATGCGGCCACCGCACCAATTTTGGTACACCTCTCACCAGTTTCGTGGCCCCACAGGGAGCCCCACCGAAGGTCCAAATGCCAGCGTTCGAATGCGGCCACCGCACCCATTTTGGCACACCCCTCACCAGTTTCGTGGCCCCACAGGGAGCCCCAGCGAAGGCACAAATGCCAGCATTCGCATGCGGCCACCGACCCAGTTTGGCACACCCCTCACACGTTTCGTGGACCCACAGAAGTTCCACCGACGGCCTACATGCAAGTGTTCGCATGCGCCTACCGCACCCCTTTTGGCACACCCCTCACATGTTTCGAAGGCCCAAATGCAAGTGCTCGCATGCGGCCAACGCTTTCATTTTGGAACACCCATCACAAGTTGTGCGGCCCTACAGGGAGCCCAGCCGAAGCCCCAAATGCCAGCGTTCGCATGCAGCCACCGCGGTACACCACTCACAAGTTTCGTGGCCCCACCGGGAGCCCCACCGAAGGCCCAAATGCCAGCGCTCGCACGCGGCCACCACACCCATTTTGGCACACCACTCACATGGTTCGTGGCTCCACAGGGAGCCCCACCGAAGGCCCAAATGCCAGCGTTCGCATGCGGCCACCGCACCCATTTTGGCACACCCTCACGCGCTTCGTGGCCCCATAAGGAACCCCACCGAAGGCCCAAATGCCAGCGTTGGCACGGCGCCACCGCACCCAGTTTGGCACACCCCTCACACGTTTCGTGGCCCCAGAGGGAGCCCCACCGAAGGCCCAAATGCCAGCGTTCGCATGCGCCTGCCGCACCCGTTTTGGCACACCCCTCACATGTTTCGTGGCCCTACAGGGAGCCCCACCGAAGGCCCAAATGCCAGCGTTCGCATGCGGCCACCGCACCCAGTCTGGCACACCCATCACACGTTTCGTGGCCCCAGAGGGAGCCCCACCGAAGGCCCAAATGCCAGCGTTCGCATGCGGCCACCGCACCCAGTCTGGCACACCCCTCACACGTTTCGTGGCCCCAGAGGGAGCCCCACCGAAGGCCCACGCGCCAGCGCTTTCATGCGGCCACCGCACCCAGTTTGGGCACACCCCTCACACGTTTGGTAGCCCCACAGGGAGCCCCACCGAAACACGGTGCATACAACGACGGTGTTCACGACTGGATTTGGCTGGGTCCTTCGCCGGGCTTATTTTTGCCTTTACAGTGCCGTTTTTAATACATGTTCCGCGTGCGGATCATGTATGAAAAATGCGGGGATCTAGTATGAATTACTCCGACGGTAGGACCCCACATGAGAATATGTTTAGCTTCCCCTTTGCCCTTTCCTCCTCCCCCTGGCGGACACTATCCTCTCGCCCTCTGCTCTGCCCTCTCCTCCTCCCTCTATTTATCGTCCTCCTATTCCTCCTCCTCCACCTCATCTCCTCATCATCGCCCTCCCCTATACTTCATCCCTCCTCCTCTCCGCCAGCATTCTCTCCATGTGCGCCTCCCCGCCCCCTGGTCGGCGCAAGCAAATCGATGTTCCTCGGCGCCCTCGCCGCCTGGGCAATCACGCGCGCGTTTGCCGACGGCTAGATCGCGAAGCCGTCGGGACAACCCTTCGGGCCAGGCCGTTGGGACAACCCCGCGAGCCGCTGGGGCACGAGAGCAAGCCGTTGGGACAACCCGGCGGGCACCGAGCTAATCGCGGCCGCGCTCAGGCGGGAGGCAGCACGAAGCCCAGCTCTGCCGCGAGCTGCTCCGCCTCAGCTCTGGAGTCCACTGCTCTCTTGTCGAATTCCTCGAGCGCCTTCCGCAGGGACGCCGGCGGCCCGCGCTCCAGGAAGTCTCGCTCGGGCGGCCGCAGGATCAGCATGTTGCGCATGCGCGTGGCGCGGGAGAACATGACGTAGAGGTGCAGCCACCACTGCTCGTCCGACATGCCTGTGCGACCAGCGTCCTCATCCCTGGCGCAGTCGATGGTGACGCCCTTGCGCAGCGTCTGACCCTGCGACAGCGCTGAGGTCAGGTAGGACGCGTGCGTCAGGGTGAACCCCGAGCGGCGCACAACGTGCGGCCCCGAGCTCTGCCACGTGAGCTCCTGTTCGCTGGGCCTGAACATGAGCAAGCTCCTCGCCCGCGCCTCGGCCGCGCCGTCGTCGTCAGCGCCCTCGGCGCTCTGCAGCAGCACCGGCGGCCCGGAGACAACGGGCCACCCCTGCCCCCGATTCGGCCGAGGATGGGTTACCACCCCCAGCCCGGACGCAAGGGGCTACCCGTGCGCCCGATTCGGCCGCCGATGGGTCACCACCGGCGGCCCGGAAACAAGGGGTTACCCCTGCCCCCGATTCGGCCGAGGATGGGTGACCACCCCCAGCCCGGACGCAAGGGGCTACCCGTGCGCCCGATTCGGCCGCCGATGGGTTACCTCCGGCGGCCCGGAGACAAAGGGTTACCCCTGCCCCCGATTAGGCCGAGGATGGGCTACCACCCCCGGCCCGGACACAAGGGGCTACCCGTGCGCCCAGCCGCTGCCTCGTCGTCGTCGTCGTCGTCGTCGTCGTCGTCGTCGTCGTCGTCGTCGTCGTCGTCGTCGTCGTCGTCAGCTCCTCAATCACCCTTTCGGGCGCGCAGGCGCATGACAACAGCAAATTTGCGTACGACCAGCTCAGACGAGGCTACCCGCACTTCGCCCACAGACAACGCTCCCGCCGAATACTTCCCCCGTATTCAAGCCGCAGGAGCTGGGGAGCCCGAAAAGTTCGTTCGGATGACCCGCGTCGGATTCGAACATGAAGCGCGGGTCCCATAGGGAGGGGGTTCCCGCCGGAGACTTCCTCGCGATTCACTCACAGACAAGGCTCCCGACTCAGACTTCCTCCGAAGCGATGACCCGCCTCGGATTCGAACATGAGGTGCGGGACCCATAGGGAGAAGCTCCCGTCTGAGACTTCCTCGCCAATCACTCACAGATGAGGTTCCGGCTTGATAATTCCTCCAGATCAAGCCTGAATACCCCCAAAAGTGACAACAGTTACAGGTTGCCGATGACCCGCTCGGACTACCAACATGAATTGCGGGCCCCATAGGGAGGAGGTCCCGCCTGAGACTTCCTCGCAGTTCACTCACAGACGAGGCTCCCGCCTGAGACTTATTCGATACTCGGGCCAGAGGGGGTCAAAAGCGAGGACAGTTACAAGTTCTGGATGACCCGCTCGGATTGCCAACATGATGCGCGGGCCGCCTGAGTTTTTTCTTTTTCGCAATTCACTCCCCGACGGGGGTCCCGCCTGAGACTTCCCCTATACTCAAGCTGAGGAACCCAAAAATGACGACAGTTACAAATTCTGGATGACCCGCTCGGATTCACAACGTGAAGTGCGGGCCCCATGGGGACGGGGGCTCCCGCCTGAGGTTTCTTCGCAATTCACTCACGGACGAGGCTCCCGCCTGAGACTTCTTCCATACTCAAGCCTGAGGGGCCCAAGCGTGACGACAGTTACACGTTTCCGATGGCCCGCTCGGATTACTAATATGAATTGTGGGCCCCATAGGGACGGGGGCTCCCGCTTGACACGTCCTCGCAGTTCACTCACAGACGAGGCTCCTGCCTGAGACTTCCTTTATATTCGAGCCAGAAGAGGTCAAAAGTGACAAACAATTACGGGTTTCCGATGGCCCGCTCGGATTACCAACATAAAGTGCGGGCCCCATAGGTAAGGGGGCTTCCGCCTGAGACTTCCTCGCTATTCACTCACAGACGAGGCTCCCGCCTGAGACATCTTTCATACTCAAGCCTGAGGAGCCCAAAAGTGACGACAGTTACACGTTTCCGATGGCCCGATCGGATTACCAACGTGAAGTTCGGGCCCCATAGGGACGGGGGCTCCCGCGTGAAACTCCCTCGCAATTCATTCACTGACGAAGCTCCCGCCTGAGACTTCCTTTATACTCGAGCCGGAGGAGGTCAAAAGTGACGACAGTTACAAGTTCTGGATGACCCGCCCGGATTCGTAACATGATCTGCGGGGCCCATAGTGAGGGGGCTCACGCTTGAGACTTCGTCATTATTCAGTCACAGACGAGGCTCCCGCTTGAAACATTTTCCATCGTCGAGATGGGGAGTGAGTGATGACGAAGTGATGATGATGATGATGATGATGATGATGATGATGATAATCATGATGATGATGATGATAATCATGATGATGATGATGATGATGATGATGATGATGATGATGATGATGATGATGATGATGATGACGACGACGACGACGACGATGATGATGATGATGATGATGATGATGATGATGATGATGATGATGGTGGGATTCAGTGTGTGTGAGTGTGATGAAGACGGTGATCATGAAAGCGTGTGAGTGGGTGGTTGATGAAGATGACGATGATGATGAATGAAGGAGTGAGTGGGAGCGAGTGATGCGGAGGAAGAGCGGGGGTGTGGGTGAGGACTGCGTGGGGTGTCCAGAGAAAACAATAACCCCACTTAGGATGTGGGGAAAACAGCGATGAGTTCATGCATAAATTCATTCATAACTTAATCATGTTTTTAAAATCGTATATGTTTGAACATCCAATGTATTAAAAACTGCCCTGTATAGGTCACTGGCTTCGGCGGGGCCTTCGCCGTGGCCCTGGCGCTGCTGCACCGGCGCCGCACGGGGTCGGCGGAGCTGGCGCAGACCTCCCTGGCTTCCCTGGGGCAGATGGTCCAGGCGCCCTACTAAAAAAGGGGGGGGGAAACAAAAAAAAAAAAAAACGATAACATAATAATAACAAAAATGGTCCAGGCGCCCTACTGCTTTGACGGCGAGCTGCGCGGGCCCTGGGACGAGCCGAAGGGCGAGGCCGTGGGCGAGCACACCTTCTACCACAGCTACAGGTCCTCGGGGATGACCAGGGCTGACTTCTTGGATCGGCGCTGGATCTCTCCCTGGCGCGCGGGGCGCGCCAGTGGCGGCGCCGAAGGCGCCGCGTGGGGGGTCCAGCGCAGATCCGAGAAATCCACGCGGACCTCCGAAAGTTCGTTTATGTCATTGTTTGTTCCTCGGAAGGGGAGCTAGTTAGTGATAGGACCCTGAAGCCGAATGAATTCGCCAGAAGGACTGAACCAGATTTCCAGGTCACGACAGTTCCGATTAGTGTAATTGGGCGGGAGAAGCGTCCCCCAGCATGTATCACTGAACCATGTCCCACCAAGCCCAGTCCTGCCAATGCGCGACAGGTGCAAGGGCGACGTGTGGGGGTTCCTGGCCGCCACGGGGCAGCATCCCTGGCCACGGCAGGTGGAGGAGGCCAGGAAGTCCCTGACGGCAATGGGGATCCCCTGCGACGACGTGTCCAGTCTCAGCGCATACTTCGCCGCCCAGCCCTTCGAGGAGCTGCAGTCGAAGCTCAGGGACAAGGGGTTCACGTTTATCCGCATCGGCAGCTTCAACGACCTGAACCGCGAGCCCCAGCCCGAGCACAAGACCTTCCGATTCGTGAAGACGCTCGCCGAGCAGAACCCGTCGGGGCGGGACGTGACCTACTTTGGAAACTCTGTGCGCTCCAGGAACTGGCAGGTCCAGGAGCTGCCCGAGCTGCCCAAGTACGGAAGGGACACGCGCGCCGTCCTCCTGGACGTTTGCGGGCTGCCGCCCCGGAAGGTCGACTGCATGCTGGCCGGGGGCAAGTCCGCCGCGTCGTCGCTCGGGGCCGTCTTCCCCGACTCCAGCGGGGTCTGGGAGCTGGCCGGCGTCACCGAGAAGGCCTGCGCTGGCGGGAAGCATGTCCGTTGTCCAGGGCTCTGCGGTCCAGACTCCTCGGCCGCGGCCCCACGGGAACAGGGCGGCCTTGCGCGGATGCCCCGCGCGGTGCGTATCAATGGAATCGCGTGTCCACGGAGACAATGTTTTCATCCCCTGGCTGACGACACGATTCGCACCGGCGCCGTCTGCGGATTTTGCAATTTCTAGGCGTTCCCAGACGGCGCCGGCGCGAATCGTGGCGTTACCCTGGGACGGGAAGGGGGGGGTCCGTCACCGGCGTTATCGCGAGCAGTAGATAATAGTCTCAATAGAGTCGCGCTTGGGAGTCCGGATCTCGATGGCATGGGTATGGGCATGCTCGTCGCTCGGGGAGAGGCCTCGTCCCCGCTGATTCCGGGCAGGTTCTGGTGCGGCAGCGCGGCGGTCGACTCGCACGCGTCCGCGACGCCCGAGGACGTCGCGGAGAGGCTCGCGCTGCAGCTCGCCCAGGAGTACGAGGGCAGGCTGAGGGAGGCCTCCCTGCTCGTGGTGTTCGCCTCCTCCGGAGGGGCAGAGAAGCCGGCACGGGCACAGACGCTCGGAGGGCCGGTTGCGCGGATCCCTGCGTCGGAGGAGGGAGAGAAGGAGGTGCCGATGCCAGTGCGCGTCCCGGCGAGCCCACGTCGCCACGGCTGGATTCCTCGAGATGCAGTCCACCCGCCTACCAAGGATGGAGCGGCCTTCCCAAGGGTAGCCTTGCATCCTTGCCTCCTCGGTCCATCCCTGGCCGCCTTCGCTGGCCGCGCCCCGCTCGGAAAGCTTCGAACTTGGCGTCCAAGGCCCTTGCATCCTCATCGTGCATCCTTATGATACGGGCCGACTGTGCTGGTGAGATCGCACCCTTGGAGAGGTCCGGGGAGTAGCGGTGTCGTCGGCATCGCCCGAACATGCTTATACGATGTGCGCGTCTGGCCCGCAGAGGCGACGCGCGCGTTCATAAATCTTATAGTGTATGCTCGTTGGCGGGCGCCTTCTGGCCAATTATCGAAGACGCCTGCGGCGAATCACCGCCGCCCCCTGCCTTCTAGAATCGCCCATGTGGCCGAGCGTTGTGGCAAGAGCTCTGCCAAGCGCCATCGGATCCTTATCTGCTCTGATACACACGTGCCGTGTTCAATACGTCCGTGTTCAAAACGTACGTGTTCAGTCTACGTGTTGAGCTCCGTATCAATACGCTACGTGTTGCGTGTTGCGTATCGGGGCACCTAAGATCGGATCATGTGTTCCCCCAGCCGTTGTGGAAACCCTTCGGGGAACATTTGGGGGAGGACGGCGGGGAAGATCAGGGGGAGGCGGAGGAGGAGGAGGAGAGGGATGGGGCATCTTGGGAGCCTCTGGGGGCACTCTTGGGGCCTCCTGGTAGCTTCCTGAGAACCTATTGAGGGGACCCGATCGGTAGGAGCGACGGGCGGGGTGTACAAAGGGCAGGGACGTCATCAGCACGAGCTGATGACTCGCGCTTACTAGGAATTCTTCGTTGGGTCGATGGCCGTCTTGGGACGTCGGAGAGCTGAAAAGGAGCAAAAGCCAAAATCCTTCAAAAACCAGAAAGGACAATCAATGATTTGAACCCTGTTTGGCAGGCTCTTGGGCCGTCTTGGAGGCCTCTTGCGGGTCGTTTGGGCAGTCTGAGGCCATCTTGAGACCCTCTTGGGCCGTCTTGGGTACATCTTGGGGCCATCTTGGCCGTCTTGGGGGACATCTTGGCCGTCTTGGAGGTATCTGGAGTTGGCAGTCTTGGAGGCCATCTGGGGCTTCTTGGGGGCATCTTGGGTCATCTTGGGACCTCATTGGGGCCGTCTTGGGGGCCTCTTGGGCCGTCCTGGGGCCGTCTTGGAGGCTTCTTGGGCACTCTTGGGGCGATCTTGGTGGCCTCGTGGGTAGTCTCGGGCCGTCGGAATCCCAAAAGGAGGAACATCAAAATTCCTATGTTTACCCCTGCGGACCGCCCTTGAGGACCCTGGAGGACCTCTTCGAGGCCTCTTGGGCCGTCTTGGAGGTCTCTTGGAGGCCTCTGGGGCCGTCTTGGGCCGTCTTGGGTGTTTCTTGTGCGAATTTAGAGGCATCCTGGACTGTCTTGGGTTGTCTTCGAGGCCATCTTGGACCATCTTGGGCAAACTTGGAGGCCATCTTGGGCCATCTTGGTCATCTTAGAGGCCATCTTGGAGCCGTCTGGAGGCGAGAAACCCTTTGCAGCCACCTTTTGTGCATCTCTGCGCGCCCTTCTGGGTGGCCAGCGGGACGGGCCGAAGCCCCAGGGGGAGTTCTTTTTGAAAAAGAGCCAAAACCAAAAATCGAAAGGGTCCAGCACGCCGGGCACCCCTGTGGCATAGGGGGCGGCGGATATAGTTACCTCCAGCCCATCCCGCCACCGTGACTGGGTTGTGGGTGCGAAACCTATTGGATGTTCGTTGGAATCTCGTGGGAGGCCTCTCGGGAGCCTCTTGGAGGCAGACTGAAGGCCTCTTGGGAGCCGTTTTGGGGCCTCTTGGAATTTCTTTTGGTCCTCTTGGGAGCCTCTTGGGAGCCTCTTGGGGGCCTCTTGGGGTCTCCTGTGCGCTTCTTGGGGCCTCCTGGGGGCCTCTTGGAGCGGAAGGCTCGGATTTTCGGTTCGTGTTCCCTCTCTTGGGCCCCGTTGGGGCCGTCTTGGGGCCCTCTTGGGCTGTCCTGGGCGCCTCTTGAGCCGTCTTGGGGCGCTGTTCGGCCGTCTTGGGGCCCCCTTGGAGGTCTCTTGGGCTATTTTGGGGTGGTCTTGGGGGCCGTCTGGGGGCCGTCTTCGAGCGTCGGAAAACCGAAAAGGCGAGAGCGCCCAAATCTTTCAAACACTTAAAGAACTCCATGATGTTTGCCTCTTGGGCGGCCTCTCGGAGGCCTCTTGGGGCGTCTTGGAGGCCTCTTGGGCTGTCTGGGGGCCATCTTGGGCGTCTTGGGCCGATCTTTCGGCGACTCGGGGCCGTCTTCGGGGCCTCTTGGGGCCCTCTTGGCCCGTCTTGGGGCCATCTTGGGCCAGAAACATTCTCGCGCTACCACTTGGCGAAGCCCAGAGCGCGCTTCTGCTGGGCCTCCCAGAAAGGGGCTAGACGTGGTCGAAGGATCGCTTCGCATCGACGGTGCGGCTCGATGTGAAGCCAGAGTTGCTCCACGCCGACGGTGCCGATGCATCGGCGAGGCTCCGGCGATGGGGCACGATATCCTCCGACCCCGTCTACTCGGACCCCACGTTGGGAGGTCTAGGATTGGAAAGCCCAGGGTTCGCTAGGGGTTGGTTTCTCCCCGAAACGGCGAAGGCCCTTCCAAAACCTTCCCCCAAGGTCAAGGTCAAGCCCGTGCGCCGGAAGGCGAGCCCATGAAGGTCGCAGGCGGTGGCAGTCGGCAGCGTGCTATACCTGGACACGCGCAGAAGGGGGTAGGGGGAGGGCGGAAGACTTCTTAGAAACACCCCTGCTTCTTAGAAGGCGCGGGCCTTCTTTGTAGATGTAAGGCCGGCGCCTTCTAAGAAGCAGCCTCCTTCTAAGAAGCCTTCCCCCCTCCCTCTACCCCCTTTTGCGCGCCGCCAATATACACGCGCGCGACACGATCCAAGGAAAACAGTGCGTGCGTCGAAAAGGGGGAGGACTCATTCCCATGGCGCGTTCCTTGGGAGTGGCAGCGAACATTCTGAACGTCCGTGGCCCGTCTTCGAAAAGCATCTGGAGGCCAAGAGCGCCACTGAGAGCCTATCACGTGGCCGAAAGCTTCCAAGAGCCGGCCGCCCTGCTCCACGCAACCGCGCGGTGACCAATTCAGAACGCTCACGATGTATCTCGTCTCCCGTAGCGGCTGCTGAACATATCGCGCAAACGACCAATTTTGGTGAACGCATGGTTCTGCCCATGTACGGATACCAGCACGCGCGATGAAGTTGCATGCACGCTCGTGCCAAGTATGCGGTATCATGCCACGGTGCATCCCAATTCCCAATCAACGCCGGAGGTGGTCCAACGATCTGTCGTACGAGGCGTCGAAGTTCGAAATCCATATCCATTGTTTCCAAGTCTTCTACATATATCGGGCGATGTTCTGCTGCAGAACGCGCCACGGCCGTTACGACGGAATTTAACAATTTCAAGCGCTGGGTGATGGAGGCTCGCTTGTCGCACAGACTACGGCGATCCGCATAAAATGCCTTGGCTGCACCTTGCATGCGGTAACTCAGATCCAGAGTGCGGGAGTCCGCCCCCCCTCTGGACGACATGCAACCCAGCCATTTGTGGGCCGAGTCTCGCGGGATCATGTCTACTTCGGGGGTGGACAGAACCCCCAACAGTGACACGTCGATTAGTGAACTGTCCGTTTTCGGTTCTCGAGATGGCGCCGTGGCCGTCATTTTCCAGGCTTGCGCCCGCCAGGTTTGGGCCCCAGGTCGTTTTCACTAAACCACGTTTTACTAAAGGGGGGCCTGTTCACCCCCGACTACTGTCAATCCTTCTGGCGTGCGCATCGCGGATGGAGCTTGTGCCATAGCGGTCCATGCTTTGGCCTGCTTGGCGTTCAGAACAAGTCCGACCTTCAGCAAGTCTAGCACGAGCGTCACAAGTGAGAAGCACACTTCCTTTTCCGAACAAGCGAGAAGAAGCGTCTGCGAATCGCAGGTTCGTCAAACGCTCTCCGCCATCTCCAAGATCTGTTCCCAGACGTCCAACCTGCTGCTTCCAGCGCGACAGTGCCCACTCCATGGCGGACGTGAACCTCTCCGCACTCCGTGCGCACCCTCGGCGGACGCCTGCGGAAATCGGGCATTCATCGCCGTGGGTGCTCTCGCCCGCGATGACGCCAACTTGATCTGCACATAGAGTTGTCGAATGAGCCATATGACGTGCTCGGGCACTCCATAGTTAATCGGAGGCGGACAGAACCCCCAACAGTGACACGTCGATTAGTGAATTGTCCGTTTTCGGTTCTCGAGAGAGCGCCGTGGCCGTCATGTTCCAGGTTTGTGCCCGCCAGGTTTGGGCCTCAGGTCGTTTTCACTAAACCAAGTTTTACTAAAGGGGGGTCTGTCCATCCCCGGGTTAAGGAGTGCCTGCCATAGTGGGTCCTATGCCACTTAGTCAAAAGTTTTCGACAAGTCCAAGCTGATGATCCAAAGTGGTATTCCTACGGCAAGCGTTTTCTGGAAGACAATGTTGGCAGTGACCACATGCTCCTCGAGGCGACGACCAGACCGGAAACCATGCTGCTCTTGTGGTTGCGCATGCTCCATGGCATCTTCAATTCTGCTAGAACCAGGTAGGAGAACAGCTGGTAGATCAGCCGCAAACATGCAATAGGTGTGAAATCCGAAACTGTTTTAGCACTGGCCGTTTTCTCCAGCATCTTGAAAACTGCACGCGTCCACTCGTCTGGGACGATGCCGTGCGCGAGCAACTGGTTGCACAACCTCAAGACAGTAGCGCGGAAGAGCGGCGGGCTATGATGCAAGAGCTCTGCGACGAGACCTTTCGTATCTGCAGCCTTGCTTGTCTTCATCCAGCCAATGGCGATGTCCAGCCCGTCCTCGGTAAAACTAGGCTCGGCAATGGAAAACTCGCCGGTGGGCGTTGGTAAGGTCCACTGAAGATCTCACGCGTGGCCAAAGCAAAGTCCTCCAGGCTCGGTTCAATTGCTCCCTTCTTACCCGAGGAAGTGTTCACCATCTGCCGTTATGCTTTCCATTTCGACGACTGGCCAACGTGAGCAGAACTCTGCGCCGATCGCCAAAGGCGCCGTTCCTTCCGCATCTCACGGCGGATCTTGAACTGAGATCGTTCCTCTTTTCCTGTCCACCCGCACGGCGTCGAGCAGCCAAAGCCCTCCGAAAAGCTCCCGGGAACCCTTTCCGGAGGGCTCTCGGCTGCCTCCAGAGGAAGCCGGTCCCGAGCGAGCCCTATACAGTGAAGACCCATGCCAAGAAACACCCTGCCTGCCTCCAGGGTGCCCTGGGTTTCTTGGGTATCGATGGTTTTGCCTTGGCAAGCGTGGCGTTCCCACGCCAAAAATCGACAAACGCCCTGGGGTCTCAGTGTTGGGTTTCTTGTGGAAGGTTTCTTGTGGACTCGCCTCCACTGTAGGTCCTCTGACTCTCTGGGGGGAAGGCATGGGACCCACGGCTGCAGTCTCCGCTGGCGCGCCCGAGGGCCCTGCAGCCCCCCAGCAAGCTTTCCCCCGCCTGCGGGGCCCGGGTCCACACTGCGGCCCTGCGCGCATCGTGACGTGACTCGGGGGGGGGGGGGGGGGGAGCGGCGGCGGGCGGGGGGGGCGGCCGGTGGGTGGCCCCCGGGCGGGGCGGCGGGAGGAGGAGGAGGAGATGGAGGAGGAGGAGGAGGAGGAGGAGGAGGAGGCGGGGGAGGAGGAGGAGGAGGAGGAGGAGGCGGGGGAGGAGGAGGCGGGGGAGGAGGAGGAGGAGGAGGAGGAGGCCGCGGGCGGCCCGGGCGCGCTCGCGGAGGCGAGCCGTCCGCGGGGCCCCGATCCGCCAGGGCCCTCCGAGAGCGTGCCGCCGCTCGTGCCGCTCCTCCGCCCCTCTGCCCTCGCGCGTGGAGCGGGCCCGGCTCGAGGCCATCGTGCGGGCGCTGGCGGCGAAGGCCGGCGGCGGCCAGCTCGCCGTGCACGGCGGCCACTCGCAGAGCGGCGTCGCCACGGAGGCTTCAGGAGGGGAAAAGACACACAGGCGATTCCCAGAAAATATGGGAAAATATGGGAAAATATGGGAAGGGGGCGGGGGGAAGACAAAAACCCAGAAAATATGGGGGATATCTTTATTTGTGTGTATTTATTTGTGTGTCCCAGTCCCCCTTCAAGGCTGGCGTCGGCACCGCGGGCGTGGCCGCGTTCGTCGTCGCCGACACGAAGGGCCGCTACGCCTCGGGCGAGTGCATGGTCGCCCCCGGCGAGGGGGACCCGGAGATCGGGGGAGGAAGGGTTACCAGCCTGGAACATATCCCTATCCGTATGCTGGGCACCTCCTCATCACGATGCCAATCTTAGGGATACCCTTATTTTTGACGGCGAATCCCTAAGATTGTCATCGCCTTTTGGCGTGTCAATCCTAGGGATAGGGATACGTTCGAGGCTGGTAAGTCCGGGGAAAAAAGCACGCCGGAAACAGAAGCTGTCGACGGTCCGCGCGGACTTCTTGGATCCCCGCGCTGGGCCCCCCCCCCCGGCAGCGCCTCTGGCGGCGCCCCGGGCGCGCTCCGCGCGCCAGGGAGAGGGGTCCAGCGCAGGTCCAAGGAATCTGCGCGGAGCGACCACAGCTCATGCTTACGTCGTGTGTGTTTTGTTTCTCCTCTTCCAGAGATGCCGATGCCGCTGCCCCTTCCCTCGTCACCACGGCTGGAGTCGCCTTGGGATCCTGGTCTGAGCGCGCCACCGGAGAGGTCCGCAGGGTATTCGCGGCAGGGGCACCCTTTTGGGGGATCCCCAGGAGAGGCGCGAGTGGTCCTCCAGGGCCACGTGGGGGGGCCCACCCCGCCCCAGAACTCGCGGGCCCGCGATCGAGGGCCCACCGCCGATTTGCCGGCGGCGCATCGCCGATTCCCAGTGCGATCTTTCCCGCCCCGAGCTGGTGGTCCTCAGCCATCTGGACGCCCGAAATGGGTACGGAAAGAATGGGTACAATGCCCACTGCAGGTCCTGCTCATTTTGAACAGGACTCGCTGTCCACGCCGCCGCGGCCTGTGTCCATGCGAGGCAGAAGGCCGCCTGCCCAACAGCGGCCGCTGTTGGTTTGGGACAACACTTTCTGTTGGGCATTGTACCCACTCTTTCCGTACCCATTTCGGGCGTCCAAAAGCCACGCGCAGAGGGGGGCCAGGGAGGGGGGAGGGGGAGGGCTTCTTAGAAGCACCACTGCTTCGCTTCTCAGAAGGCGCGGGCCTCACCCATTGATGTGAGGCCGCCGCCTTCTGAGAAGCAGCCTCCTCCCAAGGAGCCCGCCCCCCCCCCCTCCACCCCCTCGTGGGCGCCGCCAGGGCCCCCCCTGTGAACGTCCCCCCTCGAGCTCGATCCGCACCTGCGCAGCCAGGCCGCCTGCTTTCAAGCCGCTCCTGGGCTCCAAAGTCGGGGCGAACCTGCTCGTGGCCGCGGCCCGCCGTGGCCGGGAGCGCCCCGTCGGTCTCCTCCTCCTCCTCCTCCTCCTCCTCCTCCTCCTCCTCCTCCTCCTCCTCCTCCTCCTCCTCCTCCTCCTCCTCCTCCTCCTCCTCCCCCGCGCTCCTCCGCGCGGCTGGGCACAGCCGACGACCGGCTCGGGTCCACGCGTCGAGGCCAGGCGGTGGGGGAGCACGAGGCGGCGCCGCGGAGCCCGGCATCCTCGCCGACGCCCCCCCCCCGCGCCAAGCACGGGGGAACGCCCAGCCTCTACCCTACTCGCCTGGGGGCCACTGCGACACCATTGCGTTGGCGCCGCGGGGTCGGGTGGGTGGGGAAACGCATCCCCGCTTGTGGGACGGCCAGACGAAACCCGAATCGCGATTGCTTGTGCCGAGAACGCGCTCGCGGGCGCACGAGAGGGGGATCCGCCTCAGCCATCTAAAAAAATAAAAACGTCCTCTAGCACGGTGTCAGCAAGAAGGTTAGCAAGCAAAGAGGGCCAACGCACTGGCGCGACTTATCCCCGCGCCCAAGAGTTGCCCAGCGCGCTCATGAGAAGTCGCGTCGAGGCTGGGCCCACGCTCGCACAGGGCACAACCGACGGCTGGCGCGGGCCGAGGCCAGACGGTGGGGGAGCGCGCGCTGGCGTCGCGGAGCCGAGCAGCGTCGCCGACGCCAGCCGATGCGTGCTCGGCGAAGCGACGCCCTAAGCGCGTCCCCTGCAGACCGGCGATGCCAAGCCGTGCCCGCCACACGGCCTGGGCGATCGTCGGCGCCCCCTGCGCGCCCCGCGCCGCCGCGGAGTCGAGTCCGGACCCCGAGGCCTGCACGGCGGCGCTCCGTCGGACTCGGAGTGCGCGGTCTCCGCGTCTGCCGCCAGCACCGTGGCCCCCGTCGCTGCGGCAGGGCACCTGCGCACCGCAGTGCGCCGCTCCACCGCGGCCCGGGCGGCGCGGTCGCGCCCCTTCTTCTTTTCACGCGGCACCCGAAGGCGGCCCCTGATCGGCAGCCGCCCTCGAAGAATGACGCCGCCAGCCCCCCGTCGCGGAGTGCCTTGCGCTCGAACAGCCCGAATCGCGCGCGGGGCCCGGGCATGCAGGAGCCTGGCGCGGCCGCGCTGCACCTCCTCCTCGGCCGTCTCCTCCTCTCCTCCTCCTCCTCCTCCTCCTCTCCTCCTCCTCCTCCTCCTCCTCCTCCTCCCCTTCTTCCTCCTCCTCCTCCTCCTCCTCCTCCTCCTCCTCCTCCTCCTCCTCCTCCTCCTAGGTGAGCGGCGGCGAACCCTGCGCAAGCCAGCCCGTCCAAGCCGGCCGCCTGCTGACCAGGGCCAGCCCAGCGCCAGATGGCGCCTATTGCGCACAGCCCTCCGCGCTGGAGCAGGCACACGCACACCCTCCAGACCTCTCGGGGGTGGACAGAACCCCCAACAGTGACACGTCGATTAGTGAATCGTCCGTTTTCGGCTCTCGAGAGGGCGCCGCGGCCGTTATTTTCCAGGCTTGCGCCCGCCAGGTTTGGGCCTCAGGTCGTTTTCACTAAACCACGTTTTACTGAAGGGGGGTCTGTCCATCCCCGATCCAAGCCAGCCGTCTGCTGACCAGGGCCAACCAAGCGCCAGATGACTCCTAGTGCGCACGGCCCTCTGCGCTGGAGCAGGCACACTTGTAAATGATGGAACGGGATGTCGTCGAACTACTGGTGCACCCTCCTCTCCCCCGCCCATGCCTGATCCAAGACTGCAAAACTATGTACACGGAGGTACGTTTGCACCTTGGCATATGGGGGTCTTCGTTGGCCAGCGCCCCATGTGCCAATCGCTGGCCCCCTCCAAATGGCAATTTGCACCATGCCCGCCCTGACTACCCGATCGGCCGCCCCTCCAGACCTCGCGAAGCGGGGCCGCGGCGTGAACCTGCGGCGCGCGCGCGCGGCTGGCCGAGCCCGGCGCCGCCTGCCCCTCCTGGCGGCGGAATTGCACCTTCACGTGGTGCTTTCCTGCCTCCTCGTGGACTTGGCATCGCTCGGACGTGTGCGTTTTTTTCTCGGCGAGGACCATCGAGGAGCATCCTTGATCATTTGGCGAAGAAACCACGCACGAAACCCAAAAAAACACAGGGAATGGACGTCCGAGCGATGGCCAGTGGAGCGAAGCCCCACAATGTGCCGCGGCGCATTCGGAGCCGACATGCAGGCAGACTATGCTGAACCCAGCCAGGCTGAGCTCGGCCAGGCTGCATTCTGGGCTGAACTCGGCCGGCTCATTTCGGCCAGGGTGAAATTCTCGGCCAGCGCGAATTCGGCCCAGGCTGAGCTCAGCCTGGCCGAGTTCAGCTTGGGCCGACTCTTTCCCTCGGGGAGGGGGGGTCCAGCTCCGCCCCAAGAAATCTGCACGGATCTCCGAAACATCATTGGTTGTCTCTCTGCAGGAGGCAGGCCGAGTTGCCGGCAAGGCCGCCGCGGAGCAGGCACTGCAGCGGGCCGGGCTGACGGCCGAGAGGCTCAAGGCCGAGCCGCCCGCGTTCGCGCTCTTCGCTTGCTCCGCGGCGGGGATGGAGGAGCAGGCGCTTCTGGGCATGCAGGACATTTTGGGAGAGACGCCCATTTTCGGAGGCACGTGCGGGGACACGGCCGACGGGGACTTCGTTATCACGCCAGGGCTGGCGGCCGCTTCGAGCACCGTCTGCGTGACCCTCGCCTGGCCCACCGTGCCAACCTTCACGAGGCTTAGCGCACTGCACTCTGACATCATTGCCGAGGGCACGGTGACCAAGGTGAGCAACTTTGGACGGACCATTGAGACGATTGATGGCAAGCCCGCGTTCGACGTTTACAAGACATGGAGCGAGGCCTCCGGCAGAAGCCCCTCGAGTGGCATCTCGATGCACCTGGACCCAGACTCTGCGATGTACCCCCTGGCCGAGCCCCACAAGGATGCGTCCGGCGCCCCGTGCTACAAGATGCTCCTCCCACGGGCGGGAAAGGTTCGGGGAAACGTAAAACTCGAGTTCGCCAGAATTCGGGTTTGCCGACGGTTTTTGACGGGCCCGTCCTGAAGTTTGACGGTCCACTTATCCTGCGAGGTTCCTCACGTCAAGTTTCAGATTGGGTTTCGTCAGATTCCTGACGGCCACGTGCGGCCAACCCGAGTCCCCCGAACCCGAGTCGTTCGCCTCCCCGGCAGGTTGGCGGCGGGCTGGACCTGTTCACGTCGATGCAGGACGGCGACAGGGTCGTCATGATGAAGTCGACGAAGGACGGGCTGGCCTCCACGATCGAGCGCTTCACGTCCGGCCACGGGCCCCTGGCCGACAGGAGCGTCTCTGGCGGCCTCTTCACGATGAGCGCCGCCGTCGCGAGCATGCTCGGGGAGGAGGGTGCCCAGGGGCAACGTTTGGGGAGGAGGAGGAGGAGGAGGAGGAGGAGGAGGAGGAGGAGGAGGAGGAGGAGACGCAGGGAGGGGGCTGACGCATCGACCCCCAGTCGCCCACGGATCCCCGACAGGGGCCCGATAGTCCACCCCGCCAGTGAGCGCGCGGGGGGTCGTTATCGGGGACCTCTCGCCAATCCACTGGGGATGCATCGCCGACCCCAGCTCGATGTTTCCCCCCCCCGCGGAGCCGGTCCTCTCTCAACGTTTCGGGGGCAAAGAGACGGGGGTCAATGCAAACGGCGGTCAGCCAGAGCGCCAGATCCTGCAGGATCCTGCGAAGGCCCCATCTGGCTGACCCGGGTTAGCGAGCCGCTCGTGGCCGCGAGGCGGCCGCTCGTATTGGCTGACCCAGGTTTGCGAAGACCTGCGTTGCAGTTTTTTTTCCTGCATTGCAGTTTCTGGTTTCCTGCTGACCCTGGTCTGGATAGACCCGGGTCAGAAGATCCCCGAACGTTGCCCTTCAGGTACGTCCGACGCCGTGGACCGCCTCGTGAGCAACCTGGGGGGCTGCCCCGTGGCGGTGCAGATCTCCCTTGGGCAGGTGGGGCCGGCCGGCTTCCGGGACCGCACGACGGGCGAGCCCGACGGGTCCGACAACGGCCCGAACAGGCATCTCTCGGAGGGGGAAGCAATCGCCAGAAACGTAAACTTCTGGCGCTCCGCGAAGAGTTCGCGGATCCGCGCTGGGGCCACCCCCCGGCGGCGTCTCCGGCGCCGCCTTTGGCGCGCTCCGCGCGCCAGGGAGGGGGGGCCAGCGCAAATCCAAGACATCCGCGCGGACTGCCAAAAGTCTATGTTTATACCGTTTGTTGTTCCTCTAACCTCGTGGGCGGGAAGCATATCCACATCCTCGGCCATCTTCGACCTTGTGGGCCGAGCACCCTCGGGCTGACCCCATGGATACAGGGCGTTTTTCCGCGGATGCCCTGCGTAGAGCGCATCTATGCGGGACCGCGTCCCGGAGTCCAGACCGCGAGGGCGCGGGTATGGATATGCTCGCCGCTCGGGAGGCACGGCAACCTGATGCTGAACATGCTCCTGTTCGGATCCCCAGAGCCGTCTATAGTAGGAGGCATCTCCTCCAAGGTCGCGGGGACGATTGGCAGCATTACGGGGAAGGTAGGCAAGATAGATCAGGTAGCAGCTCAGCGCATTGAAGCCCTTTCAGGTAAGGTGACCAGCTTGGCAGACCAGGTTTCGTCAAAGATAAAGATGTGATTGTGTCAAGGGCGGTGCACGCTGCCTCCATGGTAGGCAACCACGCTGGAATGTGTGTACCAACTCAATCCTACGAGGAAGCCACATAATGGGCATTGCGAGGGTGGCAATCAGCGGGTCCACGGCAGACGATGTTCATCGAATGATGCCATTATGTCATTACGGCACGGCGAGGATTGCGCTGCAAAGTTGCGTGCGTCATTTCGGTCTCCTGAGCTGACGTGGATCCGCTTAGTTTTTTCCTGTGCCTGCAGTCTGAATGTCTGCCAGTCTCGTGTTCCCCCAGCTGCCGCCACAGATGGGCCTGGCGGGATAGATCTTCACATGGGACATCCGAGAGCTAGTACAGCACAAGCTGCTTTCTCAGCGGCCGTGCTCCTGAACAGCTGGTGCATAGTATCATCTGGAACTTCTGGCTGCCCCCTCTCGTGCTTCTTCTCCAGACCTGCGGCGTCGGGTGCCGACAGAATTGCCCCTGGCCCCTGGTGCCCTCAGCGTTCCGCCTATTCATGTGTCCTGATGGGCTTCACGGCGGGGCGCCTGGAGACCACGGGGGGGGCCCTTTGGACACATGAGGCGCTCTAGAAAAGGTATCGGTTTCGAGGATCGAAGGAGATGCTATCTCTTGCTCGGCTGACGGCGGCGGAAGAGGAGCGGCGGAAGCCCGCGGAAGTAAAGCGGGCCGCCTCCGCCAGAGGAAGGCTGGTGGAAGCCGGCGGGAGTACTCATCGGCCTCCCAAGAGCTAGCAAGGTTTTGTGGCTGATGGTTTCCGAGACCTTCCACACCGGCCGCCTCAGGTCGGGGGCACCTCTGGCGCTCAGGCTCGATCTCGCGACGTCCGTTGCCCGAGCACAAGCTTCGGGCGATGATCCGCCAGCCCCTCTTCCTGATTCCGCTCCCCAGCAGTCCCGAGGATGCGTCCCATCCCGTCGCGCGTCATGCCGCCCAGCGCAGGAAAAAGTACTGCGGAGGCGGCTGCGCGGTGCTTGACGGGGCCGCAGCCGAGCCGAGGCGACGGCGACGAGCAGCATCGACGACGACGACGACGACGACGACGACGACGACCACGACCACGACCACGACGACGACGACGGCGACGTCCGCGACGACGAAAATCGACGACGGCGACTGGGAGTCCCCAGAATCTCCCAGACGTCCAGAAAGCCCAAGAGCAGCCGCCGGAGCCTGGATCCCCGAACCACAACAATGGGCAATCACGACCAAGACGGCGGCGACTACCACGCCCGATGCCAACGAAGACGATGACAAAAACGACTACGAATACGACGACGAAAACTACGACCCAAACGACTACGAAAGTGACGACGAAAACAACGACGACGACGAAGACGACGACGAAAACAACGAAAGCGACGAAATCGACGAAACGATGAAAACGACGACGACGACGACGACGGCGAAGACGGCGGGGGCGGCGGCGACGACGACGACGACGACGACGACGACGACGACGACGACGACGACGACGACAACGACGACCGCGACGACCGCGACGACGGCGACGACGGACGGCCGAGGTCGTCATTCGCCTCCCAGGGCCTCGCGGAGATCCCGCAGAGGCATCGGGGGGCACCCCGGGGCCCAGGACTTCGAGCCGCGGGGGCGAGGCACCCTTCGGCCTCGCAGCGGGGAGGCTGCAGCACCGTTCCATTTGCGCCCGCAGCGCGTGTCGCGCAGGTGGTCCCAATCTGCACACTTTGCGTTTTAATGTTAAGTCGGGCCTGTCCCTCTACAGGGTGGATATTCAAAAATCGTCAAAAAATAGTCAGGGGACCATTTGGGTATTTTTGAGCATCTCTTTGTTATTTTTGGGGTATTTTTTATTGTTCGTACAAAATCCTCCTGTAGGGGGACAGGCCCGACCTAATTTTAATGGTTGGCGTCTGGGGAGGTAGGTGGAAAAGGCAGCAGCGGTAGCAGTCCGTGGCCTCGATGGTTTAGCAGGCCCAGCGCTCACAGGCCCCAGGGCTCCTCTTTTGAGTCACCGTGCCGGAGGCGACGCGCCAGCGGTCCTGGCGCGGTGCTGCGAGAAAAGAAGCACCGCCGGGTCGAGGGCGAAGCTTTCACGTCGCAGCGAACTGGCAGGAGGAGGATGAGGAGGAGGAGAAGCAGGAGGAGGAGGAGGAGGACAAGGAGGAGGAGGAGGAGGAGGAGGAGGAGGAGGCCCCCTCCCTTCCTCCGTGCACTTCCTCTCCGGCTTCGGCCTCCGCTGCCGCTGCACCGTGCCGTGCAGTGCCTGCGCATCTTCCGCTCAAAACATAGTCTGGGGACTGTGTTTTCATAGTGTTTTTTTGACTTTTTGGGTGCATTTTGGGGGTATGTTTTATTTTTCGTCGAAAATCCACCTGTAGGGGGACACGCCCGACTTAACGCTGGCGGCGCCTCCGGCGCCGCCCCTGGCGCACTCCGCGCGCCAATCCGGCGCAGATCCTGGAAGTCCGCGCGGAGCTCTGGTGAGTACATGTGGTCTTTTCCCCTATATCGCAGTGCAGTGGCGGACGCCGAGGTGTGGCCCACGGTGGGGTCAGCATGAGCTCTGCAATCCTCGAGGGCGTCCCCTCCTGCGCATGGGAGATGCGCCACGTAGGGAATCTGGCAGTCGCTCGCCAGCAGGCCACCTCACAGGAGATTCAGCCGTGGACGACCCCATCGGAGCCTCCTGGGCGGGCCCATGGGACAAGGCGAGATCGCCCCAGAGCGGTCCAGATCGCCCTCGTGGAGTCAACCGCTGTTGTGTCCCGCGCCAGCTGCTCAGCTAGAGTGGCGCCGGTACATCCGTGGTCGAAAACCAGCCCAGTCCAGCATAATCCGGGTCATTCCGCCAACTCTTGGTTAATCCAGTTGTATCAGGCTCAATCCTGAGCTTAATCTCGAGTCCTGCCGAATAGCCCTTCATCGTTCCCGCAAGGGCCTCCCTGGAGCTGCCTCCTGACATCCTCCAGGTCTGCCAGCTCTCAGAGTTTCCCGATGCGATTGTCGCCCTGCCCTCGTCAGGGGCAACGTTAGGGGGGACAGGCGCAGGGAGGAACGCATCGACCCCCAATCACCCACTCATCGCCAAGGGGGGCCCCGTGGCCTCCCCCGCCCAGGACAGTGCGGTCTCGCTGTCGGGGGCCTGTCGCCGATGTGTCGGCTGTTCCCCGTGATCCCCTTGAGGGGGGCGGAGGGGGGGGAGGACAAGCCCCCCCGGAGCCGTTCCCCCCTGAGCCGAGAGCCGGTCCCCCTCAGCGTCCCGCCCCCGTCTTGGCAAATCTGGCGGCGGGTCCGGCCGGCGGCCGAGGTCTCGTCCGTGCTCCGGCGCCGCGGGGAGAGCGGCGAGGCCCGCGACGGCGCCTCTCTTGGTGCCGCCGCCGCCGGTCTCGCCGCTCGGAAAGCCAAACCCATCCAGGGTTCGAGGAGGAGGAGGAGGAGGAGGACGAGGAGGAGGAGGGGGAGGAGAAGAGAGGGAGTAGGAGTAGGAGCAGGAGCAGGAGTAGGAGGAGGAGGAGGAGGAAGAGGAGGAGGCGGAGGAGAGGGAGGAGAGGGAGGAGGACGAGGGAGGAGGAGGAGCAGAGGAGAGGAGGAGGAGGAGGAGGAGAGGAGGAGGAGGAGGGGGAGGGGAGGAGGAGGAGGAGGAGGAGGAGGAGGAGGAGGAGGAGGAGGAGGAAGAGGAGGAGGAGGAGAACGGGGAGGAGGAGGGGGAGGGGGAGGGGGAGGGAGGAGGAGGCGGGGGAGGAGGGGGAGGGGGAGTGGGAGAGGGAGGAGGAGGCGGGGGAGGAGGAGGGGGACGAGGAGGAGGAGGAGGAGGAGGACGAGGAGGAGGAGGGGGCGGATCGGGCAGCCGGCCGAGGCAGGCTCCAGTAGGCCCTCACGCGCGGGGCGTGCTCGCTGCGGAATGGCCTGGTGCTGGAGGACTCCACGCAGGGTTCCGCGCCAGAGGCTAGCCCACTGGTTGCCGCGCCGTCCGGGCTCTTTCTCGGAGGCAGAGGGGATGATGGTGAAACGATCCCTGGCACCCCGCCTGGGTGCCCTGCTGCCCCCGTTATGTCGGGCGCTGCGTTCCGAACAGTTGTGTCTCGGCCCGTTACCACCAAGACGCGACGCTACAAACCAACGTTTGTCCAACGTATGAAGGAACAGCAGGACCTCAGGCCGCCTGGGCGCCGAGGCGCGGCAGTGGGTTGTCGCGCGCGTGCGCGAGCTCCCCGAGCACACTCGGTCAAGGGAACTGGCGCGCGCGCGCAAGGCGCGCAGCTGGGCGCTGCAAAGCCTGGTTGGCGCGCCAGCTCTGGCGCGCCGCGGGACTGCGCTGAGCTGCGCGAGCTGCAAGACTGCCAGGAGGGCCCCAGCGCCGGCTGCGGGGGGGCGAGCTCTTTGACGACGCACTGGCAGGCGGGCGCGCCGGACCCCTCGGCCCTTGGCGCAGCGCCCCCAGCAGCGCTGGCCAGAGGCCCCAACTGGTGCAGCACCTCGTTCCAGAGCGCTGACGGGCTGCGATGGCTCGCTTACGCAGAGCGTTGTCCAGGATCAGGGGAGGAGGAGGACGACGAAGGTACGCAGCCATTCTGGCCAAAGCCGCTCACCAGCGAGCACAGCCCCGCTGGGCAAGCCTGCCAGTCATAAGCTGCTGTGAAGGGCCGCTTGCTGCTTGAGGAATGGCGCGGGACGGGTCCCTTCATGCGATTCGGAACCGGCCCCGAGCGGAACGTTCTCCTGAACATTGGCGCGTCCGGGAGGCGGCTGGCGCGGCCGTCGCCAATCTCTCCTGGCTCGCGGAGGCCTGGCTTGATCGCTGCCCTCCAGGTGGACATCGACGTGGCAGCGCCAGGTTCTGGAGGCGATGAGCTGGGGCACCGGCTGCGGCTCATCGTGCTGGTGCTCGCCGTTGGCATCGCGAGCGTTCGTATCGCGAGCAGCGCGCGGCGCAGCCCGGCGGCGCACAACTTCGACATGTCCGCCGAGAACATCGAGGGCGCTTCGCAGCGGGAGCTCCACCAGCTTCGGCGGGAGGTGGTTCGGATGCGGCATTCGGGATGCGGGATGTCGGAGCTCTCGATGGAGGAGGCGTTCTTCGTGCGGGTGCGCCCGCACTTGTCCCCGAGGCGGGGCACAGGGAGCCACTGCGCGACCTGGCGTTACCCCCTGCTGGCTTGCTCTGCGCCTGCGGCGAGGTGGTTTTCGGTTCGTGGGTGCCCGTCGCGCTAGGGGTCGAGATGCTGGCTGCTGAGTACTTTTTTTCCGAGGGGTGGTCGGTGATGACACCGAAGACGTCTACGTGGAGAAGGATGCGGAGCTCGTCGGCGTCCCCAGCGCTGCAGATCATGCGGCTGTTGTCGATCGGCTCTCGAACGCTGCGTGGCGGCGCATTCGTGATCACATCGCTCGCGTTTGGCTTTGCGAAGGTCCTGTGCGTGAGCAGTGCGTGGAGACAGCGTCCGTGGACAGCGCCACCTAGGTGCCTCGAGGTGTCGTGCCTGATTATGAAGAGTATTTTTTTAATTTGGCATGGGTTGTGGCACCTTCGGCACATGCTTCTGAACTCCGCGGGGTTCGAGGTCATGGTGTCTTCCACTGCGAAGCTGGCATCGCGGAGTCCGAGTTATGGTAACCATTATGTGGTATGATCCTCCCTGCTTGCGCGTGCTACTCTTCACTGCTACTATTTTGCTCGTCGCAACGGGGCTTCCTGGTGCAACAGAAATTGCGTTGCATGTGGTCATTGCGTCGGTCTTGAAGTTTACGTATTCCTCGGCTGGGCGTTACAACTCGTTGATAATGGCAATTGGAATGCGCCGCGTTCTCCTTCGGTGGTCTTGTTCGCTGCTTGGGGGGTGCCTCGTTCAACTGCGTTTTTGCCAGCGTGTTCGTGCACTTCGCGCTGTTCATCACGCCCCAAGTCGCAGCCCGTGTCGTTGCTGCCAGATAAGGGGAGGAGGGCAGGAGGAGGCAGAGGAGGAGAAGAGGAAAGAGGAGGAGGAAGAGGACGACGACGACGAGGAGGGGAGGGAGGAGGAGAGAGAGGAAGAGGATGAGGAGGTGGAGGAGGAGGAATAAAGGACAGAAGGACAGGAAGGACGGGGAGGAAGGACGGAGGAGGAAATGGGGCGGGGAGGAAGGGGGGGGAGGAGGGAGGAGGGAGCAAGGAGGGTGAGGAGGAGGAGGAGGAGGAGGAGGAGGAGGAGGAGGAGGAGGGGGGCGAGGAGGAGGCGGAGGCGGACGAGCAGGAGCAGGAGGAGGAGGGGGAGAAGCGAGTGAGGGAAGATGCGGAGAGGCCGGAAAGGGGACGGACGGAGGGGGGGTGGGGGGCGGAGGGAGTCCTCGCCCGCCAGGCCCGCCGCGCCATCGAGAGGTTGCCGGTGTGCGGCGCCGCGGAGGCGGGTGCTCTGCCCCCTCTGGGGAAGGCGGTCCGAGCGGGAGGACCGACATGGGTACGGAAAGAATGGGCACGATGCCCAACGGCAGTTCCTGTTCATTCCCTACCTAGGCTCTGCCTAGAAGGGTTCTTACTCTTTTAGCTTAAAGGGGCCGGGCAGTGGAGCACGCCCCGGGCGGTTCCCCCAGTCCCCTGGGAGCGGTTCCCCCCAGTCCCCTGGGAGCTTTAGCTTTAGCTTTAGCTTTAGCTTAGCTTTAGCTTAGCTTTAGCTTAGCTTTAGCTTAGCTGTAGCTTAGCTTTAGCTTAGCGTTTCGCTTAGCGTTTCGCTTAGCTTTTAGCTTAGCTTAGCGTTTAGCTTAGCTTTAGCTTAGCTTTAGCTTAGCTTTAGCTTAGCTTTAGCTTAGCTTAGCTTAGCTTAGCTTTAGCTTAGCTTTAGCTTAGCTTTAGCTTAGCTTTAGCTTAGCTTTAGCTTAGCTTAGCTTTAGCTTAGCTTTAGCTTAGCTTTAGCTTAGCTTAGCTTAGCTTAGCTTAGCTTTAGCTTAGCTTTAGCTTAGCTTTAGCTTAGCTTAGCTTTAGCTTAGCTTAGCTTAGCTTTAGCTTAGCTTTAGCTTAGCTTTAGCTTAGCTTTAGCTTAGCTTTAGCTTAGCTTTAGCTTAGCTTTAGCTTAGCTTTAGCTTAGCTTTAGCTTAGCTTTAGCTTAGCTTTAGCTTAGCTTTAGCTTAGCTTTAGCTTAGCTTTAGCTTAGCTTAGCTTAGCTTTAGCTTAGCTTAGCTTAGCTTTAGCTTAGCTTTAGCTTAGCTTTAGCTTTAGCTAGCTTAGCTTTAGCTTTTAGCTTAGCTTTAGCTTAGCTTTAGCTTTTTAGCTTAGCTTAGCTTAATAGCTTAGCTTTAGCTTAGCTTTAGCTTAGCTGTAGCTTAGCTTTAGCTTAGCTTTAGCTTAGCTTTAGCTTAGCTTTAGCTTAGCTTTAGCTTAGTTTTAGCTTAGTGTTAGCCTTAGCTTTAGCTTAGCGTTTCGCTTAGCTTTTAGCTTAGCTTAGCTTAGCTTAGCTTTAGCTTAGCTTAGCTTAGCTTTAGCTTAGCTTTAGCTTAGCTTTAGCTTAGCTTTTAGCTTAGCTTTTAGCTTAGCTTTAGCTTAGCTTTAGCTTAGCTTTAGTTTTAGCTTAGCTTTAGCTTAGCTTTAGCTTAGCTTTAGCTTAGCTTTAGCTTAGCTTAGCTTTAGCTTAGCGTTTCGTTTAGCTTTTCGCTTAGCGTTTAGCTTAGCTTTAGCTTAGCTTTAGCTTAGCTTTAGCTTAGCTTTAGCTTAACTTTAGCTTAGCTTGAGCTTAACTGTAGCTTAGCTTTAGCTTAGCTTTAGCTTAGCTGTAGCTTAGCTTTAGCTTAGCTTTAGCTTAGCTGTTGTTCAGTTTTAGCTTAGCTTTAGCTTAGCTTTAGCTTAGCTTTAGCTTAGCTTTAGCTTAACTTTAGCTTAGCTGCGGCTTAGCTTTAGCTTAGCTTTAGCTTAGCTTTAGCTTAGCGTTACTGTTACTACTAATGCTGCTTTCCTAGGGGTTCCAACTCTTAGGTAGGGTCGCACTGGGATAATTTTGAACAGGGCTCGCTGTCGATGTCGCCGCGGCCTGCGTACACTTGGGACAGGGGGCCGCCCTTCCCAACAGCGGCCGCTGTCGGTTCGGGACAGCATCTGCTGTTGGGCACTGTGCCCACTGGTTCCGTGCCCGCTTCGGGCGCCCAAATCAGAGCAGGGAGGGGGGAGGCCAGGCGTGGACTGATCAGGCCAGGGGGCCCGCTCTCGAGCGACCGCCAGAGCGCCAATGTGGCGCGTCTCCACTGCGCCGCGTGTGCGCGGCTGTGGTCCGCCTTCTGTCACAGGCCCGCACGGCCGGGGGGGCGTCGAGGAATCAGCAGGCGCCCGTCGCCTCGAAAAGATCGCGGCGCCCCGCTGGTCACCGCGTCTAGCCCGCGGAGGCCAGCTTCGCGCCTCGGCCCGTCAGAAGATAGCTCGGGCTGAAGAGGCGGCCCCAGGGAATGGGTCGGGGGGTCGCGAGGCCCACGTGTCGAAGGAGGTCTGAGCGGTAAATGTCTGTCTGGGGATGGCAATGGTCGGATTGGCGAGCCGACTGCATGCAGCCGGTTATTCCCGCACCTCCCGGCGCCAGGAGCGACAGCGTATCGAGGGGAGGGCCCGGCGGCGGCAGAGCTGAAGCCAGCTGCACGTAGCAGACTTCCGGCACCCACCCCCTCTCAATCCCCCCTTTCGTCCCGTCCGATGCGAGGATCGAGCGACGAAGCTTGGAGGATCGAGGGTTGAGGTTTTTCGCGCGTGGACCACCCTGGCCCAGCGCAAACCCCGCTCAGCCGATCTTCACAAACTACAGTCGGGGCGTTGAAGAAGGAACCCTTTTCGTTCGGCAGGGGCTCGGCATGGGAAATCGAAGTTTAACTTATCGGAAAACGTGGCCTCGTTCCTTATTTAGGGTTCCTCAGGTCAGCGCCCCGACTGTACGCGCAAGTGCTCTGAGGGGGGTTCCCGGGCCTGGCTCGGCCAATACGACGAGCCACCTCCAGGGCCGCGAGCGGCTCCCAGCCAGACCCAGCGCAGCCAAAGTCTGGGCTTGCACGACAATTGCAGGAGCCGGCACTTCGGCTGAGCCCCGTGTGCGCTGAGCCTCGTCACTAGCCAGCGGCGGGAGGGATTCGGGCAGAGGGAGGGAGGAAGAGTCAGGGACAGCGTGAAGGGGGGGGGGTAATCAGCTCAGGGGTGGAAGTGCTCGACGGTGTTCTGAGGTTGTCGGGAGTTCTCGAGGCCTTGGGTGGCGTCAATCGGCAGCGCCTCGTCGAGAGCGTTCCGGGGACGCTGGGTCGTCCAGCGGCCGCTGGGCAGGCGAGTCACGCGTCGGAAGCCAGAGGCAATGTCGGAGGGGATAGGCTCAGAGTGGGGCTGCATCGACCCCCGAGCGCTCAGTCACCGCCGCCCGATAGCCCACCCCGCCCAGGAGAGCGCGGTTTCGCTATCGGGGGCCTATCGCCGGTCTGTCGGCTCGTCCCCGAATCGTTTCCCGTCAGTAAAGTGAGGAGGAGGAGGAGGAGGAGGAGGAGGAGGAGGAGGAGGGGAGAGAAAATCTCGACATTTTCGCGTCGTGCAGCAAAAATCACGACGGATGGTGTTTTGTGGCGGTTCTCCTCCTTTCATGGGACAGGTTTGGCATTTAGATCAATAATGTGTAGACTCGAGTTGTCCGAGTCAGAATTCCAGAGACGTTCGACATTTTGTATGTACCTATGTACGTTTCGCACTTTGGCTCAAGGCAAAAAGACTTTCGCTCATCTGGCTGCTGCCACAGTTGGTAACGGAGCGGGGCTGGCCATGGGCAGGGAGGGTGGTGCAGAGCATTGCTGAGGATTTGGCAGCGGAAGCACTGCTCGACGCCTGTGGCCGGTTCCGTTTCCCACGACGGACAGTGCGTGGATCCATGGCGACGGTCGACATACCAGCAGAGGGCAGTGGAGAAGAAGTGTTTGCGGTTATAAAATTTTAAAATAAGGAGCTGCTGGTTCCCAGCAGCGCCAGAGCAAGGGAGAGTCGACAGAAGTCAACGGAAGCGGTCAAGCATCATATGGAAGATGGACACTGACATGCCGCAGCGGCGGCATTCGGAACAGTTTTTCAAACGTTTCGGCAGGGCTATGCGGGCCAAGTTCGAGTACGTGAATGAGGCTACGTTGGCTAGCCCCCAGTGGCTGGAAGTTCTCTTCGGCCGGATGGACGCGATGAACGGCGAACAAAAAGGAGGTGATTTGCGTCGGGCTGGCAGGAGCGCGCTCTTTGACTGCGCCCAGGAGGCCAAGGAGACGATAATTCAGTATGTGGCACGACGGGGCCAACAGTTCATTGAAACCGAGGAGAACGACATTTGGATGTAGGCGAAGATGAAGGGTTTCATGTTCGAAGAAAGAGTTAGTCTGACAGTCCAAAGCCAGCGGGTCCTGAGGAGCCTGACGCAGGGGGCAGTAGACTAATAGCAGGTAGCGCGGGCACGGGGGCAGCTAGCTTTTGGTTCAGGAGAACGGCTGCTGCCGTTTCGTGCAAACGCCCTTCCCGCGCTGGCCGCAGAAGCCGGTGGACACGAGGAAGGCGGACTCAGTCATTCCGTTCCCTTCCTCCACCATTCGTTTCCAGCCAGCTCGGGGTCGGGCCGCCCGGGATACGAGCGCGATGGAGCCACGGAGGAGGATCCCAATACCATTTTGGCAGAGACCGACGACCTTAATGTGGGAGAGGACGAGGCATAAGAGTTATTCGCCCAGTTGGAGCAGAACGCGAAGCGGCGCACTTGGAAGAATAACAAGGATTTGAAGCGAGCGGCCCGACAAGATCGTGAATTCTACGGATCCCGACCTCGGCCAGCAGGAGACGGGGCTCGAGGTGCAGGACGCGGGCGCGGCGGAGGTCGACGCGACCAGCCTGGGCGCAGACTCGGAGGTTGGGATCAACGAGGCGCCAGCAGGAGCAACGCGTCAACGACCCGACGCCGTCGATGTCAGGAGAGAGGACACTGGTCTCGCGAGTGCCCCAACCCAGCCAAAGAGTCCAAGGGGCGCATCAACTGCCACGCGTGCGAGGGATGCTCGCTCCCGGTCATCTCCGACGAGAACTCGCAGAGCCTGTCGTCCAGGGTCCTCCGAGCAAGCCGAGGTGAGGCGCGTTTGCGCGGCCCCTAGTCAATCGGGCCCGACGGTTAGCAGCAACAAGACTTGGAGCACGGGCCCGGCCCTTCAAGTAAGAGAGATTGTTTTCCTGGCGGGGGGCCCTCGGGCCCATCTCGACGAGCCGAAGTTGCACAGTGGGAGTTTTTGGCGGCGGCTGGGCGCCGGCTGGGCGGCGGCGGGGCTGCGGCGGGGCCGCAGCGGCGATTTGGCTGGGACATTGCCCGGCGGCGGCCAGGATTCGGCTGGGATCGTTGCCGGGCAGGGAGCCCTCGGCCCTCCGAAGCGCGTCTGCAGC